GAATTAGCCGTCTAAGGGGATCGAACTCTTGACCACGTGATTAATAAACACGTGCTCTACCACTAAACTAAGAAGGCTTCAACGCTCACTTATTATAAATAATATAATAATTGTTCAATTACATACAAGTTAACGATTAGTTCATGATAAACTGTGATAGAAATCATAGAATGGTAAGTAGTTTAGCAAGTTCAGTCAAGTTTTTCACAACATGATCACTCAATAATTCGTTCATAAAATGTAACATCTCAATCCATTTAGATGACGTCACAAATATAGAATGATCCTAGAGATATGTGTGAATATTCGTATAAGATGTGTATGTTCACTTATAAATTCTTAACCTAAAGCTCATGATCATGAGAGTCACTATCAAATCATTCCAATCCTTATCTCTATCAACAAATACTACAACATCTCTGGTAAATTTTCATATACCGTGCTTGATCCAATTTTAGAGATAAACCGTGATAGGGACTTGTTTTTATCCATTTATAAAAATTCAGTGTAGCATATAAAACCAACCAACTCAGTTTTCATTTTTTCTTTGTATCCAATCCTATGTTTGTTGTGCCCTGATAATTTCAGCCATATGTTTTTGATATGTTTTAAACATAAGACCTTTGATGCATTGCAAATTAAAAAACATAGTGTATACATTTCACCGGTGACTTATTAAAGTCATAATAAGATTTTCGCCGTCTAAGGGGATCGAACCCTTGACCACGGGATTAAAAGTCACGCGCTCTACCACTGAGCTAAGACGGCTTCGATGCCTTGTATGTAAAACAGTTACTTTATAAACGTAACATATATGGGAAATCCTAGGGCCCTTTCCATATCATTTCCACATTTTGTTATGTCCTTTTTGGTAAAAGAAATGATGAAAGTGAAGAGAATTTAACTTCGAAATGGAACTTTTCCAAGCAAGAATAAAATCTTATTTTTTTCATATAATTGATATTATTTATAACTCAAAAAAAGACGTGACAAAGTTATTGAAAGATTCACAACATAGAAACCCAACATTAGAAGCACAACATTAGAAGCACTCTTGAACATATGTCATGTTGCTAGATAAATTCAATACGGCTAAACAATGAGGCAAACAATAATTTGCCAATACTTCTGAATTAGTTCACATGCATTTCAGATCGATGAACTAGTAAGAGAAAAAAAACCCACACATGTAGAGATTATTTGGCTTACAACTTCACAAGGTCCTTTTATTCTCGTGCATTGACCGTAGCTCAACCGCGTCGAGCTCTTTCACAAAAGTGTCGGGCCTATAGAATCCGGTTTGAGGATCAGGCATCCACCATAACTCTTCTCCTCTCCTCGTTTTAACTTCACTTTTAGAGGTTGTCACAATGTATGGATCTAACTCTTTTGCTATGGTTTCAGGTCTATAGTATCCGGTATCAAGGTCTGGTGTCCACGATGGCTTCTCTCGGCTGCCTCCGATTGCATATGCCCTTTGAGAGGCTTGTGTGATCAAAACGTATCTTCTCCTACAATAATAACAAAACAAGAAACAAAGAAATTGTAATTGATTTAAAAAGATGTGTCTTCAAAATATATAATTAACTCAAATTCTAGGTTACAAATGGATTGACTTACATTACGATCATGTTATTGATAGAGCGAGAGAAGCTTTTGAGATTGAAAATCAATTGAGACATTAATCCCAATATCAGAATTTCGATGGTAAGTGTAAGAGAATTTCTATAGAGATCTTAGTTATGTTGTACTTGGAAGATATATGTAGAAAAGTATGGCTTTATATAGTAGTTTAGATATAGTGAACTTACTACGAATATTATAACTTGGTCTTGTAATAAACTAATACTTTGTATTGTCAATTAGACTTCCGAAAAATCAAACTAAATATTGATATGGTCAAATATGTTCGAAAGAGATGGGGAATGTAAGAGAGAAGTGGTAGTCCCTAGCTCGATCGGACGTCAAATTAAAAAGCGACATCGAAAATATACAAGCTGGACTTAATCTTGCTTAAATTTGTAAGAGTTAAAGCGTACGTGGATTGAAAAAAAAAAATCAAATTTAATAACGGTGAACTACTCAAACTTAAACATACCTGTTGTGCGTGAATTGATCTATATATAATTTGAAACGGTTCGATAGTATCAAGGGTTTCTCTAAACGGTTAAATCGTTTGGAAGGGTCAATACAAAATACGGCTTCTCTTCAAATAAAATAAAGGAAAATCGTATTCACTAACAATTTAAAATTCCAAAGAATTTCATTCTTATTTTGAAACTTTTTTTTTTTGGGCAAATCTTATTTTGAAAAAAACTTTAAAGTAGAAATATTTTTACAAACAAAATATCCGAACTAAATTTCAATATTGCGCTATCGTCAAGTTTTTTAACCACAAAAGTTTTGCGGCCGCGTTCCTGATTTGGTCAAGAAACCCTTCTTCGTCTCCTTCAAGCATTTTGAATCTGGACGCATTTTTTTTTCTTCCAACTTCTAAACATAAAAAACAACCAAAATTTTTCTAGACACGATATAATAGTATTAAATCTTCTCTAATGCATCAAAACTCAATTCCAAAATAAAAAGATGAAGAACAATTAAAAGCGAGAGAAAAGGAAGAAGATGTTTTACGATTTTTTTTTAAATAATTAACTGCGAATAAAACCACATATATTATTATTTAAACGAAAAACAAACAGCTCTATCAACAGTGTTAACGATGATGTTAAATTTTATGACAGCGCATACTCATAATCTAGTTTAGAGATATTTAGTAAACATATTTTTAATTTGAAAATTTAAAATGAGAATGAATTTGTGTTGAGATTTAAAGTGGTAATAGAAGCTATTTAAAAGTTATAATGCATTTTTCCAAATAAATAAACGATATATATGTTGAATCTTTCTAGTCAACATATTATACATAGTGGAAAACAACGAGTTTAATATATAGAAGATGGAACCAAATACCGAGAGACCGAAATGATCCAAGATCAATGTCAGTCTTAGAAAATCTTTGTTTAGAAACTATAGAGATTTCAATCTATAAGGGTTAGGTTACGAAGATGTTGGAGTTTGAAATGACCACACTATTTGGTTTCAAGGAGTTGTTGAGAGGAAGTTTCAAAAAAAAAAAAAAGAAGTTGTTGAGAGGAATGGAAAAAACGTTTAGTGCAAGAAAAATTAGCATACATAACCAATAAAAATTCTATAATTACAAAACTAACCAATTGCCCTAAATTTGATGGCTATAATCTTGCTACGTAGTAAAATTTTAGTTAGTTATTGAATTATTAGTTTTTTTTGTTACCATGCAAATAAACCCTTAGTCAAATCACCTCGCTTTGTTTAGACTAGGTGAAATTATCGTTTTAATTATAATTTTTTAACCTATTAAATTAACGAAATAAAAAATCTCTCTTGTAATTGAAAAAATTTAAACAAATTTGTCATACAACGACTTTTGCCTTAGTTTATAGTAGTTTTATTTCATGATATATCGTCTCGCATTTTATGTATTAGTATCTTGATTTTTTTTTGTTTCTTTCTTATAATAACATTTAATTTTCGTTTGATCAAAAAATAAACCTACTATAATTTTGTTGAGAAATTTTGAGAAATGCCATTTTTGAAGTGCCACTTTTCAAAAATACCACATTTTCAAAATATTTGCAAATAAAGCCACTTTTTCAAAATTATTTATTCATTATATTATTTATGTTGGATTAACGATGTTGTATTAGTGTTTAATTTTGAGGGTTTAGGGTTTGTTAGGGGTAAAAAAAAATTTAGGGTTTAGAATTCTAAGATTTAGGTTTTAAAAATTCATAATTAGTGACATTTTTGCAAATGGACAACTTATTGTGGTATTTTTGAAAAGTGGAACACCAAAAATGATATTTTTACAATTGTCCCAATTTTATTTAACTATATCAATATAAAATTTTTGATTTTTATTTTTCTTTAGGATAATGGAAATGACTTTTCAAATTCCTGTAATAATTGGAAGATATTAACTTCCTTGTGAAAAAAGAGAAAAATAAAGTTGGAAGATGAAGAGTTATTGAAGAAATTGTTAGTTAAGAATGTTCTCTCGTACAAACATTAGTGACATATTACCCCTAAGAAAATACATAAATTGAATTGATTAAAAGATTGAAGACCGAAGAAAAATAGTAAGTTTAAATCACTGCATGAAAATCTTGCTTGGACCCAAAAGTTCTTTTGCACTATTTAGGTTTTCTTTTCATCCGTGAAAATGTTTTTTTCTGGTAAGAAACATCCAAAGGTACTAACCAAAAGAAATTGTGATAAGTGATCTAATATCATTTCTTTAATTGACTACATGAACGATAACTCCATTTATTAGCCTTTCTGTTGTCTATGTTGGTGAGACTTATATCGACTTATTTTTCTCTTGCAAATTACAAATTTTTTAGTATATTAAAACATATATATTATAATTCCTGAATATTTAGTCATGTCTCCGCATTGTCTTCTAATTTCTGTAGATAAAGGCGCTGCGGAATGTCTTCCTAAAAAAGTTTAGGAAGGATTTTCACTTGTTTAGAAAGGCCTTCCTAAACACTTTCCTAAACAAGTAGGAAACGTTCTTAAAAATAAGTTTATGAAGGATTTTCATTTGTTTAGGAAGACCTTCCTAAATACCTTTTTTTAAACAAGTAGGAAACCTTCTTGAAAAAACTATAGGAAGGATTTCAATTGTTTAGGAAGGTCTTACTAAACAAGTAGAAAACATTTTTAAAAATAAGTTTAGGAAGGATTTTCACTTGTTTAGGAAGACTTTTCTAAACAAGTAAGAAACCTTCTTTAAAAAATTTTAGGAAAGATTTTCACTTGTTTAGGAAGGCCTTCATAAACACCTTCCTAAACAAGTAGGAAACCTTCCTAAAAATAAGTTTGGGAAGGATTTTCACTTTTTTAGGATGCTTCCTAAACACATTCCTAAACAAGTAAGAAACTTTCTTAAAAAAATGTTTAGGAAAGATCTTCACTTGTTTAAGAAAGCCTTCCTAAACACGTTCCTAAACAAGTTGGAAACCTTCCTATAAATAAGTTTAGGAAGGATTTCACTTGCTTAGGAAGGCCTTCCTAAACAAGTAGGAAACCTTCCGAACATTAAGTTTAGGAAGGATTTTCACTTGTTTAGGATGATCTTACTAAACAAGTAGAAAACCTTAGTAAGAATAAGATTAGGAAGGATTTTGACTTGTTTATGAAGGCATTCATAAACACATTTCTAAACAAGTAGGAAACCTTGTTAAAAATAAGTTTCATCTTATTATGTCATCTTTAGTGAAATGATTCAATATCCTTTTAGTAAAATAATATATATTCTTTCTCTTTAAATAAACAACTTCTTAACAATCGTTTGACACCAATATTTTTTTTATGTCCTTTATATTTTTATTCATTTGTTTTTATATGTATTTTCATTTTACATATTTTCAATTTTTGAAATTAAATATATAAAACTTTATCATTATCCTAAACTCATAATCAAATATATTTATTGATGTAATTTAAATATTCAAATAGTTTTATATGTACTACTTTTAGTTATTTGTTGACTTATTTTTGTTTTTATTTAATTAGAAATTTTAGAAGTTATAGGTGACAATAACTATACATAAACATG